AAACCGACCCAAGCAAGGAACAGTGAGGCAGCCTTTGTCATCTTGGCGTCTCAGACTGCAAACATACACACAAGCACACACAAATGAAGCCATACAGTGTCAGATATCTGAATGCATAATAAAACAGGAGCAAAGACGGAAAAGAGGAGGCGGCCACAGACAACAGCCACACGGTTATCCCTTTCTTCTGCAACAGGAGCTTCTGTTGTTTGCAAATTTTGGCAGCACTTACCCTGGAATTTCTCCGGCATCTTCCCTCTGACATCCCCTGCAAAATTTCTGGATGAGCTAGTCAATGACTTAAGGTATTCAAGACGTGGGGATCAGCCTGAACGAAGGACATGAGAGGCTAAGCTATGAGTCAACACAGACGCTCTGTGTTCATTCACAATACCTGAGTTTAAGCTATGCTAATACCACTGTGCTCTCAACCATCCATCTAGCTGGGAGATCAAGTGTTTCCTAGTTGTTGTTAAGTATGTTCCAACAGTCCACAGGCTGCTTCTTCCATGCAAGTGTCTTGTTTAGTCCAACAAATGTTCATCTTAACTTAACATCTTAATTTAATTTTATATATCATTTTCAAATATAGCGTTTTCATGAACATTTTTTGCTCTCAGGGTGTGTTAGCACCAAACAGGAAGCGGATTTTTGCCTCGTGTTACTTGTAAGAATATGGCCGCTGGGTTGTCTTTGATATTTACTGTGCTAACAGTTGTGCTAACTAACTGGGGAAAGCAGCTAATGCTAAGTCACTCAAAGCGTGTTGCTAAAATGCAACTCAGCAATATGGTTTACAAAAGTAACACGTACATATTTTCAGAACTTATCATGTAGTCCCATGTCTTCGCTTACTTTTCTCCGAGCCCTCTCCTTTTTGGTTTTATCTCCATACAGTTTAAGTTTATCCTCCATCTCTGCTTCTCAGTGACGTCAGGAGAATTTCAACTAGATCTCAATGGTAAAAGGCTTTTGCGACACACTTGCATGAATGTTTTGCACAACCTGAAGAATTTCATCTTGGGTGGATACATATATTTCCCATATTCCTGTCATTGTCGTCATCTGCCGTGAATTCACGTCCATTCGGTTGTAATTGTGCCCTGTGGAAAAATTTGCCTCGTGCTTGGTTTGAACGCACCTTTATATGTTTCCAGTTCCAGTCCACATTTCGTTCCATACAAGAAATGTGTTGGATCCAAGGTGAACATTATCATTTCACTGTATTTTATTTCCTAAAATAATTTAAATAGATAACAATCATGTAGTGTTGCTATTGATGCTTAATTTCATTATCGAGTAACCTGCACATTCTCGATTAATTGATGAATTTAGTCTATAGAATGTCCAAAGAAAGTGAACTGGGTCCATCACAGTTTCATAGAGCTGTGGTGAAATCTATGAGTATCTTTTTTTGTTTAAAAATACTCAATTTACAGTTACATTATAGAGAGAAATGCAGCAAATGCTTGTAAATTGTTCTCACGCTTTATCAGCCATCAAAATAGTTGCCAATTAGTTTTCAGTCATTTTCCAAATCAATAAGTTGACTAATTGCTGCAGCTCTAAAAGCATTATACTTTGATCCAGGTTCTTTAGCTCAATACAACATTTCAACATCTCTTGTTAAGATGAATATTTGATGCAGTGATGTCTGTCTGGTTACCACAGAACTGCCTCCAAACGTATTTGGAGATTCACTCTGAGTTTGAAGAAGTTTCTTTGGCACGAGGCCTTTTGTTTGATCTTAAAAGTGCCGCTTATTTATGACTAATCTTGAAGAATATAGAAACCATTTCCTCCCTTAAGTTATTTTAAGGGTCAGCTCACCCAAATTACACACAGAAGTAAAACATCTTTTCCAGGCCAGACATGTGGATTATCTGGATTAGCATAGTAGTTAGATTTCAGCACTTTGAGCACCACAAATTTGATTCCATTGACCTCCATTTTATTAAGGTGGAAGAAGAGATTATAGAAAGATATTAAAACTTAATAGGAAATATGTTTACATGTAATTTGGGTGAACTGAACCTTTAAGTTCATGTGTCAGGGCTGGTGTCGGCTGACTCACATCAGCTGACTTAAGAAATATCTCCAGTATCTTAAATTCAAAGGTTAAAAAAAGGTTGAAAGTTGAGGTTGTCCAGTCTCATACCTGAAAATGAACACCTGTCATCACAACATGAAAAGCGGTTTTTATTTATATCAGTGATGCATTAGACAAATTAAATGACGCTAGCCATGATCAGGAGATTCACTGTCAGTTTCACTTTCTCTTTGCAGGTTGCAGCATCTTTGAGCGTGTTGGTTTGGTATAAGTAGAATACTAATGTTAAAAAAAGGCTTATGTCTGTTATTGTAAGCACTGGGAGGGATCTCATATCAACATACTGTAAACAATATTCCACTGTGACGCTCAGACCGGCTGTTTTTAGGTCCTGCTTTAAAGACACACACTCAAAAACACACAGTTTGGTGATGTTACCGGTCTTGTGTGTAGGTTGAATTTGCCCTTAAGCTCTGATCTGTGGCCAATTTTGCACTTTCCCCCTCTGATGCTTAACTTTGTTTAAAAGGGGCATGGAAGCTGAAACTAAACATCACTCAAGGACAACTTCACCTCAGAGATCTCCTGTGTCTTTCATGGAAATGATACTGTCATTTATATATCACTACTTGTTTTAATTAGACGTTATTAAGTCATTTTTTTGTTTGTTTTTTTGTCTCTTTCGTGTGCAAGTCATACTGTCATGTTACATGTTTCATTTCATAAACCTCTGAACACCCATCTACAGTTGAGAATTTATTTGTTCCTTTGCAATCTGGTTTTCTTTTGTTTGGGAACAGCGTAATTTATTTTCAGGTGATGCTTTCTTTCTGCCTGTCAGACATTTTCTGTCTTTCTGAACACTGTACAGGTGGGGTTTGTTTGGTGTGCTTTAAATACCTCCAGAGGTAATGAAGAAACACTTAAATGCCAAAACTCTCTGCCCCTGTCTTATCTACTGCATGTTAATCTTTATACAATGTCTAATCATGCCATTGACATGTGCGTGTGTGTGAGTGTGTGTGTGCGTGTGTGTGTATGATAATATGTGTATATACACCAAACCCAAATATATAGCCAAAATGAATCGTGAATAAAGCAAATTTATACAGAATATCTTTTGAACAACACTTTGTCTTTAACATACCAGTCATATGAGCTCAGTTCTCAGTTGTAAACAGGTACATCTCATGTTTAGTACAAAGAATTAATTTATCCAACTTGACATTCATGTAGAAAATACAGCCTTTAAGTTTTTAGTGACTTAAAATACAACCTTTAAGTCACTCACAATCAATAAGATAATTTACATTTGTCTGAATCTGGCTTTATCAGCATTTATTGGATGACCACCAAGGAAAAATTGTGTGAGAGGTTTCAGAGAGACTTAAATAGCTTGATTCCCTTGGGGGGGAAAAAAGGCATTTCTCTAAATGCAGCTGAGGAAACATTGCATACTGTAACATCTCAAACTCTGAAAAGCGATGTTCTGTGAGGGTGTTGGTGTGGTGAATTTGGGGGTTTTGACACCAGTTTTTCTCTAAAATTCTGGCTACATGCCTGCTAAGAGAGAAATGAAAAGCTAAGTAAAAAAAAAAACAACTTAAACATTTGTCTTGAATTACACACTGAACAAAAATATAAGCTCAGCACTTAAGTGTTTGCTCCCATTTTTCACAAGTTGAAATAAAAGTGCTAACACTTTGTATGAACACAACACTTCTCCTCTCAAGTTTTGTCACAAATTTGTTAGAATCTGTTTTTGTGAGCACTTTGCCAACATAATCCACAATCTTTATTGTTCATTCCAATACTGTGAGCCGTTTCCAGTGTCATTTCCATGAATTTGGCAGGACATCCAACCATCCTCACAACAGCAAACAACATGTAACCACTGCAGCTCAGGACCCCCACATCCTGCATTTTTACCTGTAAGATTGTGTGAGGCCAGACACTTGCACCGCTGAAGAATCTCCTCACAAACTGTCAGAAACTGTCTCAGAGAAACTCATCCCAGTGGTTGGTTGTTGTCTGATTACATGTGATCTGGTTGGATGTACTGCCAAATTCACAAAAATGACACCAGAGACATCTCATGGCAGTGAAATGAACATTCAGTTCATGGGCAACAGCTCCGGTGGACATTCCTGCAGCCAGCACGCCAATGGCACGCTCCCTCAAAACTTGTCACAGTGGCATAGTGATGTGTCAGTAAACTGCACATTTAAAAGTGGCCTTTTTTTGCGAACAGCCCAAGGCACACATGTACAGTAATGATGCTGTTTGAATAGCTGTTTAAATATGCCACACCTGTCTGGTGGGTGGATTATCTTGGAAAGGATAACACGAATTTAAAAAAAAAAAAAATGAGACCAGAAGCTGAGAGAAGTAAGTCCCTTATGTGCATAAGAAGTCTTAAACCTGTGGAAAATGCTGCATTTAAGTTTGTGTTTAGTGCAATGGAGAGGAGGATATGGAATGACAGATACTAATATTTATCATGGCACCTAAATAGACCTAAAAGTATCCTGTACATTTTTGGAAACAGTCATTTCTGAAAAGTAACTCAGGTGAAAGTATGGCATTTGAAACATTCAAAGATTGAGTTACTAAAGGGTAGGCGATGTCACAAAGACACGCTAAAAGCGGGACCTTTTTTTTTTAGATGGTGAGGCAGCCATTATCGTTGTATAGACGATCTTCGGGTTCCGATATAGAGGAGTCCATTTTATGCCTGTTTATAGTTTTGCAAACTTTGCAAATATTGTTCAAAATAAAATCAATTTTTGGATTGACCTGTTTTATATGACAAATAGGGCCTACTTTAAGTGAGAATTTATCATTTAAAATTGAATATAAATTTTTTTATGGTCGATATTAGCACAGGCACATTTGTGGGCAGCTACATAGCGACTGGTCCTGTCCCACGTTGTGTTACCAGGAAGAGAAAACTGTTGACCGTCCTCTGGTGAAGTCGGTGGTGTGTTATCCACATATTTACACCTGCTGAGCAGCATGGGGCGACGATAGCACATTTTTGTCCTTAGCCCGTTACACCAGGGGTGTAAACGACAAGGAGAGATGTCAGTTAATCGGTGTATGTATTTGTTTTCTCGGCTTCACCGCCACATTAGCCCCCGGACTGCCCGCATCACCGCTGCCAACTGTTACGTGTCTTCTGGGTCTGTTTTGTCAAATAAACAACACCAGGCTGGTTCTGTGGTTTGTAGCAGACGTGTTTCATCTAACAGCTCCTCTCCAAAGCCCCCGGACACCTCTCTGTTTGTCCCCGTATCTCTGAAGACTGACTCCTCGGCAGATGGGAGTGTGGGAGCAGAGCTCACACAGCCGCTCGACAGAAGTGAGTACATCCCCCGGCTGGTCCTTGAGTTTGGGTGAAGGCAGGGTGTGCTATTAACTTATTTCTGTCTACCGGCCAAATGGCAAGTGACTGTGCGACTTTTACCAGCCACTAAACACAGATGACCATTGATTGGGGCTGATGGGTGAAGCAAATGTGCCAGCCACTAGTGGACTGGATAGCGCTAGTTTTATATCCTTATGTGGCCTCTGTGTGTGTGTGTGTGTGTGTGTGTGTGTGTGTGTGTGTGTGTGTTGATTGCTCGCTGTTAATTACAGATATAAAAGCTATTTTATTGTCTCTCTTTACTGTCTCTGATTCAGGTGAACTTCTGAAAATCCTGAACCGGTTTTATAAGAGGAAGGAGATGCAGAAGCTGGCAGCAGACCATGGCCTGGATGGTGAGAAATAAAACTGCATGTTTTTTACAGTTGTCAGCAGTGATGGAAATGTTACTTTGGAAATGCAGTAATTTAAGGATCACTAACTAAACTGTTTGCATCACTTCATCACATTAATGTATCTTATTATTTGATTTCTTCTCTGACACATTTTAAACTGGGCAATAAAGCAATACCAAGAGAATATTTATTATTTAAAATAAAGAAATTCAAAACATCAATCACGAGTCAAAATATCATGATGCATACATAACAAGAGAAAAGGACCAGATATACATTTCCTTTTATTAGATTAAAGCTGAAGCTGCAGTTATGTCACCACCCTATGCCAGTGGAATTAGACTGTCAGGGCTCAACATCATTCTCTATAGAGATTGTTTGAAGAACAATCATGTCCCACTTGTCATTGTTGTTGTAAAATAAATTTCCACTTCTGTGGCCTGATAAATATTGTCATCAACCAGAGAGCTTTTATTCTGTTGAAACAATAAACTCCTATGGTAAAAATGAAGACTAATAAACTCAAAATATTTCTGATTAAACAGACAGTGAAGAATTTCTATAAAACATATTGGAGACATATTTGCGCTGATAAGTTCTTAGATCATCATGTGCTGAGGTCTGCCTTTGGTGGAGAGCAGCTGTTGAATCTGAAAACTGAAGTTTTTGACACTGATGTCAGAATGATGCAGACAGAAATCTAACCAGCATGCTTTGTTTGGTGAGCCTCATGTGTTTTCGTGTGTGTGTGTGTGTGTGTGTGTGTACAGCTCGTCTGTTCCACCAGGCCTTCATTAGCTTCAGAAAGTATGCTCTGGAAATGTCATCACTCCCCGCGGATCTGCATATCATCCTCAGTGACATCTGCTCTGGAGCAGGTTTGTCGGCTTTTAATTGATCCTCAAGGAGTTGTATTCAAAGAGATCATATTCATTTAATTAATCAAATTCAAACTTTAATTAACTTTAATTTTTGTTGTTCTCCAGGTCATATAGATGACATCTACCCGTACTTTATGCGTCATGCCAAGCAAATCTTTCCCATGCTGGACTGTATGGATGACCTGAGAAAAATCTCAGACCTCAGAGTCCCTGCTAACTGGTAGGTATTACAGAGCATGACGAACCCTTATCGATTCTTAGCTGGAACTGGTTCTCTATTTCCATCCCTAGTGGGTACCAACAGTGGTATTACACCTTCACATAAAGGGACAGTTCACCCCCAAATCAGAAATACATATTTTTCCTCTTAACTGTAGTGTTATTTATCAATCTACATCATTTTGGTGTGAGTTGCTGAGTGTTTTGAGATATCGGCAGTACAGATGTCCATCTTCTCTCAGATACAGTATAATAGAACTAGAAGACATTCGGCTTGTGGTGGGATTTTGGGATGAACTGTCCCTTCAAACTGTGCTGGCTGTAGGTTTCAGTCACCATCTGCATTCATGTATCATAACTTGCACAACATTGCTGTGTGTGTGTGCTTTCGTCAGGTACCCTGAGGCTCGTGCCATCGAGAGGAAGGTGATTTTCCACGCTGGTCCCACTAACAGTGGTAAAACCTATCACGCCATCCAGCGCTACCTGGCTGCTAAGTCTGGAGTCTACTGTGGGCCGCTGAAACTATTGGCCCACGAGATCTTTGAGAAGAGCAACACTGCCGTACGTATTTGTCTTGCTCTGTTATCTTTGTTGTTAAAAGTGAAACACCCCTGATTTTAACACATCAGTGTTTTTAAAGGTCTTGGGGACTACATATGTAAAAAAAAAAAGTCTTCACAGATAGAAAGAAAAATGTCTCCTATTTCCTAATTTTGCTTATACTTTTAAGATGTGATCTGTTATCTCTTTGTCACTGCACTGTGCTGTTAGCAGCTGTGACTCAGAGGTAGAGGTAGAGTCATCCACTAATTGGCGGTGGATTATCATCTTCACCAGTCCTTATATGGAAGCATCCTTGGGCACGACACTGAACCCAAAATTGCATGTGAATGTTTAAACTGAGTAGCAGGTGGCACCTCAGCTGTAGAAATGTGGGTGTGATAGTGATAAATAGTGTAAAAGCTCTTAGAGTGGTCAGAAGACTAGACAGGCACTTGACAAGTATAAGTTCATTTACCGTCCATTTACCATTTACTGTTGTCCCATGTGTGTATGTGTGCGTGTGTGTATTCACAGGGTGTGCCATGTGACTTGGTTACTGGAGAGGAGAGGACCTTCGTGGACTTGGAGGGTCGAGCAGCTAGTCATGTAGCCTGTACCATTGAGATGTGCAGTGTCAGCACACCCTGTACGTAAACATAACACATGCAAACATTTCAGTTTCATAGCAAAAATATGACCAGAAAACTCAACATTTCTCTGTGGGACATCACACTATGTTGTATCTTATCAGATTATGTCAGCTACATCAAATATGAATGTTTGACTGCTGCTGTTTCTTTTCACACTGACCCCCCAAAAGTGGAGTCTGGTCTCTTCTAATCACAAAAACTAACAGAATGTTGCCCCCGTCAGGTCATGTAGAAATTTAGGCACTGATTGAAATTATGAATTATGCTTGTGTTGATTTATAAAACAAGGAGAATAGAATATTTAACACAGATTTTTTTGTTTTGTCTGTCTTCAGATGAGGTGGCTGTAATCGATGAAATTCAAATGATCAAAGATCCTTCCAGAGGCTGGGCCTGGACCAGAGCGCTGCTGGGTTTGTAACACACATTCTAAAACATACGGTCACACACACACACACACACACACACGACTTCTCACACATGTACGTCATATCTCTCTGTCTCACCCTGTTTTTGATTTGGCCTGAGGCTGAACTGATGGGGCTCTTCCTGCAATAGTTGCATTCATGATGATCAAGCAATGATAATGAAAATGTTCTAAATGTCATGACACACACACTCACAAACACAACATTTTTAGGCAAAATATGTACAAAGTCATCTATAGAGGTGTTCCAGTATATCATCATTGATGATAACCGTGATATTTAAGATGAAATATTCATATCATGTTGATAATGCACATGTGATTCAGTGTAAAATATCCAGCCTCTTGAATCATGTCCATTCTTTCCATTCTCCTTTAATCTCCCTCCCCCAGTGCCATCTGGTTGTGCTTTTAACTATCCATTAAGTGTAATTGCTCTTTTTGTACGCTTACAGACTCTCTCTCTCTCTACCTCCTTACACTCGTATTTTGCGTGAAATTAATTTGTTAAAAAAGGGACAAAATGCACAAAAACCAGTGTTAAAGATGAATCTGACTAATATGATTATTTTAACTGATTTATTTTTATTTATTTTTTTTAATTTTGTAAAGATATTGTGATAATATCAAAATGGTGAACTCTTTTGGCCGTGATAATCGTGTTGTGAAAATCTAATATCGTGCCAGTGCTTGTCACTTTAACAACCCTAATGTACACAAAGTCTGCATTTTACTTTTTCATTTGTACCTTTTGATTTTATCATTCATTTTGAATAAGATGTTTCCAACTGCCGCAGCTGACATCTTTGTGTTTTTCTAGGTCTCTGTGCTGAGGAGATCCACATATGTGGGGAACCTGCTGCCATAGACTTCATCAGAGAGCTGATGTACACCACTGGGGAGGAGGTGGAGGTGAGGATGTGGCATGTAATGCAACAGGAAGAGAAGCGTGTCACTGATGTTATTCAGTGCTTTTTAAAATCATTTTATTTGGGTCTCTGTCTCTTTCTCAAGGTCCACACCTACCAGCGTTTAACCCCATTTGCAATCTTGGATCACGCTGTGGAGTCACTGGACAAATTGAGACCAGGAGACTGCATCGTTTGCTTCAGTAAAAATGACATCTACTCCATAAGCAGACAGATTGAGGCTAGAGGACTGGAATGTGCTGTGATTTATGGGAGTTTACCTCCAGGTGAGATTGTGAGAAGGGCGTATAGATAGATGTATTAATGTGTGTAAGGCAAAGACATAGTCTGTCAACTTGATCCTCAGTACTGACTAAAGACTGGCTGTAAAGATAAAGATAAAACCTCTATAAATGTTTGTTTCCATCCATGAAGTGTCTGCACGTTTATTAAAGTAGGAGGTGGTCATGTTTGAATAAAGTCTTGGAAGTCAACTTTTAACCATCCAATATTTGAGCTTTTCGTGTGATAGACTTCTGGAAATAAGCTCCAGACTTCTGTGATCTGCAGGCACCAAGTTGTCGCAGGCCAAGAAGTTCAATGACCCTGATGACCCCTGCAAGATACTGGTTGCTACAGATGCTATTGGCATGGGCCTTAACCTGTAAGTACCATCATGCACACTGTAATACCATGAAGAGCCCAAAAGAGGTCATAAGTAAAACAGTTAGTCTGTTGTTTGCTGTTGCATGTTCGTCAAACACCACCAGGGGCTGCTACAGTCAGAAACTTTTAAATCCTACACACATGGGCTTTAACAAGAATCTAATCTTGAAGTCGTAGCTACGTTGGCAGTTTCCACTAGCTCAGCTCATGTCTATCCATTTGTCTGCCTTTCCCTCCTTTTCTCTCTAGGAGTATAAAGCGTATCATCTTCAACAGTCTGATGAAGCCGAATATTAATGAGAAAGGGGAGAAACACATGGAGACCATCAGCACATCACAAGCTCTGCAGATATCTGGCCGGGCGGGAAGGTCAGTCTCATTTTCACTCATATTATCCCTGTTCAGGAGGGTTGAAGGTGGGAGAGAGGATGCAATATTAACAAGCAAATTCAGTTTCTGTCAAGTACATTTTAATACCTCTGTGCCAGTGATAGCTGTGGCTGTCCGTCTGTCCCATTCTTGTGACGAAGGTATCTCAGGAACACACTGAGGGAATTTCCTCAAATTTGGCACTCCAGTCCACTGTCAGTCCACTCCGACATAAGGATGAACTGGTTAGATTTTGGTGGTCAAAGATCACTGTGACCTCACAATAACACTGTTCGCCATAACTCAAGAAGTCATACACTAAAAATGATAAACTTTCACGCAAATGTCTAATAGAATAAAATGATGAAGTAGTGACATTTCATATCCAAAATCCAAAGGTCAACTCAACTGTGACATCATTATGTTCTGCAAAAACACTTTCTGGCCATTATTCAACATGCAAAAAAATTCACTTAGTGCCTTTTATTAAACCAGTGCAGTGCCCATAGTAAGCATATATTTTGGTAAGGAGGCGTCAGTAGAAAGATGATAGGCTACATGTGTCTGCGATTGATATGGATACAGATTGAGGTGTATATGTTTAATCAGTTGTTGTTTATGAAGTTGTTGTAATGTCTTGTGTTTGGCTTTTAGCAATGACACTGTAGGGAGCTGAACCCCATTTCACTAATGTGAAAGTACCACTACCAGTATCTTTTTGCTTTGTCATTGGGAAAAGTGTAAAAACAAATGGAACAACAGTCAACTGAGTGGTGAAGTGCAATGTACTTTCTGCAACCAACACAAAGCTGTCGTCAACGCAGGTGAAGTTAGCGGACAGGTTAGGTTCGGATGACTGACGCTAAAAGCCTTAACGCAGGTTCCGTTGATTGAAGCTAATGCTATGCGAGTGAGGGCAATGCTAAGCAGGTTTCCGTAATGCGTTGGCCTGTGGTTAATGTGAGTTACCTGGCAATGCCGCATATCCATGATCATGATCATTCAAGTGTGCGTGGGTGTGCGTATCCATGAGTGTCCATGAGAATCTACTTCTTCCTCTTCTGTTGAGAACAGAAAACATCACGCCCCACGAAATCCCATAAGAGGGCGACAGGAGGGGACAGACACACACACAGACAGAGAAACCGTGCTTTTATAAAGAGATTCCTTCACTGCCTATATTATATGAGACTTAACAGTAGTGATGTGCGAGGCGACCCACTGGTCAGGCGTTTCGGGTAAGCTTGTTAGAAAATATTGTTTTTCGTGCAGGTGGGTCATTAAGTGAGGAAGTTATTAACAACTTACATATACATTGTGCAGTAGCCCACTTTACACCTTCTCTTCCCCTCTCTCTGTCTTTATCCATCCCTGTCAAACACACACAGCAAGTAGCTTTGTTATCAGTGCTGCTGTGTTTAGGGTTTCCATTGTCCGTTTTTTTTACTAGGACAAATCTGTTGAAGTCCGGACATATTTAAATCTCTGCGGTCATGATGTCTGGTAAAATATTTCCCTCTGAGAATATGTAGCCGAGGCCTAACACCGTGACTTAACAGCAAGCAAGCGCCTCTCCGTCCACACAGAATCCATCCAATATGCACTTCTGTTATGTCATGTAAACAAACCACTGTACCTATTGGCTGTGCACCCTTGTAAAAAAGAAACCAAGTTTCATATAGTGATATTTACTGGAAATTACATACAATATAGCCATTGTGGGCCAGGTTGGTGCAGGTTTTAGGAATCCCTGACCTGTGTATCAGTGCTGGACAGACATGGATGTAAACTTGACTTGTTGGCAGCAAGGCAGTAATTTTAGTTAAACCTGTCTCCTTTGTCACATCTCCCAGATTCTCCTCCAAGTTTAAAGAGGGAGAAGTCACCACTATGCACAGAGATGATCTGCCTATACTGAAGGAAATACTCAGCCAATCCATAGACCCCATAGAGGTAATCATTTATAGACAAGCTTGCAGTTGAACACACATGCGTAGGTAGTCTCTGAAAAACCAAGCTTCACTGTGTTTATCTCTCCTCCTCTGTCTCAGACTGCAGGTCTCCATCCTACAGCAGAGCAGATAGAGATGTTTGCCTATCATCTTCCTGATGCTACACTGTCCAACCTTGTTGTGAGTATAGCCAGCTATCCATTCAAGTGTTTTTGTCCTCAGAATAGCCTGAATTCTTTGAGGTGTCCATTTGCTGAATTAATTTTGGGAGGGACTTTTGGGACTGTTGCCCCCATTGTCGGGCTGCGTGAACCTCTCTAGACTAGTCCTGAAGTTGCATTATTGAGATCTAAGACTGCAGGGGAAGGTAAACTGAGGTAACTGCCATCTTTGTGTGGCCATTTTGACTTGACGATTGCTTCAAGTGACACTGCACATTATCCCACAGAAGGACCTGGTTAAAACAGGGCTGTCAATTAAGAGATGTGTATGATTTGTGAGAAGAAGTTAAATTCTGACTGTTACATCCACATGTCACAAAAGAAAGATGTTCAAGTCTAGGTGAATTTGCACTCTGACAAACTTTGTGACTTCTCTCTCCTTCCATCCATTTCTCACAGGACATATTTGTCAGCCTCTCTCAGGTGGACGGTATGTATTTCGTCTGCAACATTGACGACTTCAAGTTCCTGGCCGATATGATTCAGCATATTCCACTCAATCTGAGGTCGCGCTACGTCTTCTGCACCGCTCCCATCAACAAGAAGCAGCCTTTTGTTTGCACCTCCTTCCTAAAAGTAAGGATTAGTAGGAATTGACATGGGAAGAAGGTATGAGACGGCAGGAGAAAAATGGAGGGAGACAAGGAAGGAAAGAAGTTTGAGGAGCAGCAGCAACACCGAGACACATAGTGAAAGACAAGACAAAACATTTGAGCTCATTTCTGCTGCGCTGAGATTTTTATTTATTTATTTATTTTTACTTTTTTCTGTTTGTCAGATAACATAAACTGATTCAGTGATTTAATTGTTGTAAAACATAAATACGACAAGGTTCATAGGGGCAAATCTGGGCTTTTGCCTTTAATAGATAGGACAGTGTGAAATGGGGAGACAGAGCAGGGACTGACACGCAGCAAAGGGTCGCAGGCTGGACTCGAACCCACGACCGCTGCAGCGAGGCAATGCCTCTGTACATGGGGCGCCGGCACTATCCACTACGCCACCAACGCCCCAGGAGGATACTTTGTACAGGGATTGTACTTTTGCTCTGTCGCTTTATGGTTATATCACACTAATAAAACAAGACTAAATTACTGTCCTCAACATGTAATCTTTGAGATTCAAGGTGCGCACTGGAGCACACAGAGTTGAGGCAACAAATTATGTGGAAATTCAGTGTAATGCCCAGTGCTTGGCAGAGGACCCCCAACCCCAAATTACATCATAACATGTAACATTACAGAACAAAGAGGACAGCACTAAAACACACAGAGACAAGACAAACTCCTGACAATTCAGTAATCAGATCATATGAAATACTTTGTTAGACCACAGTGACCCCAAACTGATACAGCTCAAGTCCTTCCATATGCTCATCTGTTGAGCTTTACATACTGTCCTGTCCTTGCAGCTTTGTTGCACTGATTTGATTCTTGTTTCTCTTTCAGTTTGCCCGTCAGTTCAGCCGAGACGAACCCCTGACATTTGACTGGGTCTGTCGCCATGTCAATTGGCCTCTGTCCGCACCCAAAAACATAAAAGACCTGGTGCACTTGGAAGCCGTTCACGATGTGTTGGATCTTTACCTCTGGTTAAGGTAACCTGTCATTTAAATGGGGTTATTATGGGCAGCTGTTGTTTCATGCAGTCATATATTTGTTGTGTCTAAAAATGTGGTGCAGTGAATTTAATATAAGTTTCATCATCATATTTCTAAACTCTATTTTACGTTACATTTTTGCCTGTCTCCGCAGCTACCGCTTCATGGACATGTTTCCAGACACGGCCTTGATTCGGGAAACCCAGCGGGAGCTCGATAACATCATACAACAGGGCGTCCAAAATATCACCCGTCTCATCAGAGCCACCGACCCAGCCATCGCTGACTCGCTGCAGACGCCGAGCAGCAGGCACGGACAAACAGGTGGAATCAGTGGAAGTGTCAGTAGTAATTATACGACCAACAGCAGAGGTCCAAAGGGACAAAGACGCTCAGAAGAGACGATGGACAGGTCTCTGGCTAGTCGCCTCGTAAGAGACGGTATGTTGACTCCTGAATTGCTCCGGCAGCTGCAGAGGGAGTGGTCAAAAGGTAAAAAGCAGGAAAGCACCAATCAGAGCGCAAGCAGTAGAGAAAAACAAACTGACAACAACAACGACAGGAAAGGAAGACGGAAGAAGAAATGAAGAAAACTCTCAGGTGTTGCAGTTGTAACATGGTCAGTGCTGTCCCCATAGAGGTCAATAGCTGATACAAGCCCTGATTTGTTGTGGTTTGTTTCAGATGGATCACATTTTCCAGCCCTGGAGGGATCATAAAAAGCTTTTAGCTTGAGCTATAATCATTAAAACACCAATATGTAGTTTGAACAGGTCTGGACTAAGATTTCCGCCAAAGCACTGGGTCATTAGATCATGTGATTTACTTGTTTTTACTGTGAAAAGCTCATTATTATTTTATTCTTAACAGAATCGCCTTGGAAAAGGATCTAAAACTGTCAATTAGCCAAACGGCAAACTTTATTGACCTCACTCGAATTTGGCTTTCAAGAAATTGTCCTTGGAAATGTCAGGTCCTGCCTGAACTTCTCACCCACAGTTCTTGCTTGCAAACTGAGAAGCAGCATGGTTTACCGCAGTGTTTCAGTGGAGAGTCACTGTGTGTTGCAAATGCTGAAAGAAACATTTAAACATTGTGTATGTGTGTTATGCAGGTCTGGAATCAGTTTTATTTTGCTTTATTTTCTTCAATGTAAACCCTCAGAACAGTATAAGTATACATACAACCCAGTTGGGCAGTTACTGTCAGTTAAAGTAATCTCACATTGAAGGTCCAATGTGTAGGATTTAGGGGAATATACTGGCAGAAATGCAATATAATATTCATCACTATGTTCTCATTAGTTTATGGTCACCTGAAAATATGAATCATTGTGTTTTCACCTCGCCGTTTGTATCCACATATGGTGCGGGTCCTCCTCCACAGAGGCCGCCGTGTTCCACAGTAGCTCGGACAAATCATACACTGGCTCTAGATTGGGCCAGTCATGTCCTTACATCAGCCACCGTAGTTCTCCTACAAGCTTGACTCAGGGGAGAAGTGTCGACTCTGTAGCCTCACCACTAGATGCCACTAGATCGTACACACTGGACCTTTAATTGCAGTTCCTGTAAACACTTGGAATAGAGTAAACTGAGTGCAGCCCTGTTAGTGTCTATATACAGATGAGATTTTTCTTGTTTCTTTGTATATTAAAGGTGAAAACATTAGTCAATTAAAATCCACTATATTTTAACAGTCTTGATTTCATGTTTAAATTGTGTGATGCATCTCACACCAGGGAGCAACAAAATAACACAAGCACATGATTAAAACTAACTCTGAATAATAAGTTAACTCAGTCAAGACTTCCACATGTGAATTTTCAGTGGGTCAAGAGGCAACAAAGAGCTCCAATGAGAAACTCTCAAACAAGCAAATTGCATATGTATTCATTTAAAAACAGGAAAGATGACTTCATGTACTATGGGAAACAACCTCAAGCCATGACTTCTTTTCTTATACCGAAAAGACAAACCACATTAGTGGCATTAACAAACATGGATGTGGCAGACATACCTGCCTGTAAATTACAGTTACCTTTAATCCCTTAACATAATGCTTTTGTTTTCCTTTAAGTAGCCCTGAGGTTGTTAAAATCATCTTATTCAGCAGTATCATAAATATTCTTTTCAGCTTATTCCAATTTTTCAGAGAAAATACTTGATGTTAAAATGTCTGCACCATTCCATCAAATAGAGCATAGCGTTAATTCGGGCAGGACACTATGGGTCCGTCCCAAGTCTCTTAAATTACTACTAGTTATCTTACATAGCCGACTTTGCTAGCTGTTTAGTCCCTCCAGCCTAGGAAAAAATGCGAGGAGCTAGCGCTAAGAGCGATGAGCGAGCATTGTCGGTTTAAGAGACATGAGACGTCCTTTCCACTGAAGCATCACATGAAGCGATGTCCATTCCTGATGACAGCGGCACCGCTGGATCTGCTGCATAACGGAGCCAGCGTTTGGCGTTACTATGGGTACATCCCAAGTCTCATTATATTCGCTGACCAAAACAGTAGCCCCCAACCCCCGCCGTCATGACTCTGGTCACACACTTTGCATGTAGCAGCCGCACATCACCGATAGTCCGATGAACAACGCAACGGGTTGTGACTAAGAAACCTAATTCTAACTAACTTCCTAACTTCCGGTTCAAGCGAGGAGCTAGCAGTAGCACTATAAAAATAAGAGACTTGGGATGGACCCAATGTCAAGCTCAGCTCACATCCCAGCTACATCGGCTGATCTCAAACAGCCATTCAACTGATGGAGCAGCTGATTGATGGAAGACTGTCAGCTGATAGATCACATGATTCCTTTCTATGCAACTAGTTGGCAAAATCTCATTCAGGGTGTCCTGTTTAAACTGCTCTGGCCTGCCTACTGTTGCTGCTTCCTCTGCAAGTCACTTTGCAACCCACCTCCACCCCAGCTCCTCCTTCTCATGCTGTGTCTGACTTATCAATGTCATTTCTCTTTGTCATTGATGCTGCTCTGTTCTGTTCCGGGGGGTCTTTGCTGCTGCTCTCCTTGCCTCAGGCTTTCCATGTAGGCGCATGGAAGGGCAAGGAGGTTTGCTTTCTCTGCCTCAGGCTTTCCAACTAGGTGTGTGGAAGAGGCTTTCTATGTAGGCCTGAGAAAAAGCAGAGGCCCCAAAACAGAGCCATACCGCCAAATGTAATACTGCAAATGGAAATTAAGTTTTCTTTGACTAAAGTGGTCCTGACTGAAATAGAAATATTCTAGATATCCCATGCACCATTTTATACACGTTTCCATAAAATTCAGCCCTATATATTTTGCATCTTTGGAAACCTTGGGCTCTCCACTAGAAAATAAAATAATGTTCTTTGGGTATGTATAACATTTGGTTTGTACTGACTCATAATCGGGCTGATGCATGTGAGGCAGATATCTCAGTCTTTCAATTGTTTGTCTACCTACAAGACATTTCTAAAATATAGTTTTTGGTGTTAGATAGCATACATTCTATTAAAAGATTATACTCACTCTCAAAAAATTGGGGTAAGTTGAGAAATGTACACTGCAAAAGTATTTTTAAAAATGTCACTTCTCCATTTCCATGACCTTTGCTGAGTAACTCATCACTCATTTTTGATTATCCTACGTTTCTGCAGAATTTCAGTAAAGGTCAGGTGCAGTTCACCAGAGACGCTAAGTGAAACTAAGTATTCAGAGAGGGTTGGGCAGTAAGAGAAAAAATTGGAGGAAATGATGGGAGAAAGGGGTTGGGCTTGTTGTTAATCATTGAGTCAGAGTAGCAGTTGGTCTCTGCTTAGTGGACTCAGTCAGTGAAACCAAAACAAGACAGGAGTACAGGAGGGAAGAAACAGACTTAATGTATTTTAATATGTGCACACACTGAATGTTTTCAACAACATTTCACTGGAGTGTGTGCAGTTGTATCGTTCGTGCACTGGCAGAGAAACATTATACATCAAGATGCTTGCTGTTCACCTTGTTTCCTTCTTCTTCTCCAAACTCCAGGAGGACCCCACAAAGAAGGTAAGAGCCACTACACAGTTTTACGTTATAATCACAGCTTAAACTTCAGTTCCTATAAAGAGGCCACATTCAATATGTGCTCTGCTACAGATGAGGTATGATGAGATTTACAAAGATATCTGTAATATATTCATCTAAACAGCTGCTGACCTGTATATAACACTCTCTGGCTTACATTTACCTTTAAATCCAACAAGTGTATTAATTGCCTTCCTTTATCTAACATATTTATTGTAAAATATTGTATGTGCTAATAATGGCAAGTCCACCTCAAAATTATCAGACAGTGATTTTGTTTTTAAAGAAATAAAATGTATATTCCTTGCTAATTGCTCTCATGTAGTGCTGAATTATTCACTGTGAGAAATTCTGTCAGGATTAATCAATGATTAAAGGATTGAATATATACATATATTTGTATCCACTGATAAGATAAGATAAGGCAGTAGCCTGTGCTGTAATAAGATGATCAAGGTGCTGTGATGATTAGTTACTGTGTCACCATTTGTCTCTCCTGAGCAATGATTAACATCTTCCCCTGGCTGTATCACTACTACTCTTTAGTGCAGATGGGTGTGACACACTGTCCCAGGGACAAAGTATTGATGCTGTCATAAGAAACACTGCTCACATTCACACTCTGACACAAATACAATACGACATGCAGCCAGGTGCACAGCCAGAGTGACCTTGTCCTTAAACATGACCCCACAGTGATACAGTATACTGGGAGGGACTGAGCATAGGAAGGCTTTTTGATTCATGCTTTTTTTGTCATTCCTTTCAATTTTTTTTTTTTTGTATGACACACCCTTTATTTCCCAACCACTTGAGGCAAAGAAGTCCATAGTCTCTGTCTCCTTCATTTAAGCAACACTCCCTGGATTAAGTTTCACCACAAAATGACCTTTGAGCTTTTAGTTGTGCTGAATTTGGCATGCAGCAATAAATCTTATGGCATTTCAAATGTTTGCCTCATGTAAACCGTCAAGATGGAAGAAACCTGTATTTTTTAGAATAACAGATAAATCTTTCTGTTAGGACCACATTGTCACAACTATGAATACAGACCCCAAATTTGAGGGTTGATTAAACAAGATAAAGTGAATCTGACCTTGTGACACATTTGTTCTGCCGCCCCTATTTGTTTATGACTTTATTGTCAAGATAGAAAACAGAGATTAAATTAGTACGCATCATTTCCCTTTGTGTCTGTTTGCTGACTCTGTTTCTCTAATTTTTTTAGGTGGACAGGTTTCTGCACGCCATGCGCCTCCATGACGACCAGTTAAGTGACATCTCGGCTCGTTTCCAGGCTGAAATGAAGAAGGGGCTTTCAGCAGAAAGCAACGCTGCAGCAGCAGTGAAGATGCTGCCAACACATGTCCGCTCCACTCCGGACGGATCAGGTAACTCGCAGTAATGGTTTTCACACTGTAGGTCAATGTATTCTGAAGAAACATGTGATACAGGTCATATATTTTTGCCTGTCTTTACCACTCCTGCAGAGAAAGGACAGTTTCTGGTGTTGGATCTCGGAGGTTCCAGGTTTAAGGTGCTCCAGGTTAAAGTGAGAGAGGGCATGGGGATCAGGAGAGGAGGAGTGGAGATGGAGGAGAAGACCTACCCGATACCTAAGGAGCTACTGAATGGGAAAGGAACAGAGGTACGGAGGAGAGGAGGAGACACGGGAAACATGGACAACGAAAAGCAGAGGAACAAGGGGAGGGTATAGTAAAGGGAAGGCATGTGGAAGAGATTTGGATAAGGATGGCAGCAGCAGTTGGGACACATTATCAGCCTTTTCCACCTTCTTCTTGACTGTCCTCCTGTCTTCTCTCCCGTTCTGTCTGCAGCTATTTGACCACGTGTCAGAGTCTTTGAAGGACTTCATGCATGAGAAGAACATCAGTTTGGAGAAGAAACATCCTCTGGCCTTAACTTTCTCCTTCCCCTGTGAACAGTCCGCCTTAAACCAGGTAATGACACCCTACATCCTTCCATTTGGTTTTCATCACCTGCACCTGCAGTACAGTATGTTACTGTTGTCCTTTCATTTATTTCTTTCTCTGCAGGGATTATTGCTAGACTGGAGTAAAAACTATCAGGCTCGAGGCCTTCAGGGTAAAGATGTGGTCCAGGCCCTCAGAGGGGCTATTGAGAGAACTGGGGTAGGACATAAGCAGCTACTACTCACTTGTATATGACCCACAAACTATTTTTCATTTATCAGAAAGGCCAGTAAAGGCACTGAGACAATCATACCCACTTAACATCAGTTAGAGTTGACTGCACTTCTTAAGAAACACTTAATCCAGTATAAAACTGTACTGTAGTTGATGTTAACTATTCACTCTGTAACTCACTCTGCAGGGTATGGATGTAGAGGTGTTAGCCATGGTAAATGACACTGTAGCAACCATGATGACCTGCGGCTTTGATGACCAGTACTGTGAAGTTGGACTCATCGTTGGTGAGTACTAGTGTTGTCATAATATTGGAATTTGTAATTTCATTCAAAATCTCTAGCCTAATCCAAATCAACACAACCAACAAAGGTAACGAGTACTAGCCAATCAGAAGGAGAGTTGGGTGGGTCATGTCTTCACTATCCAAGGAAACGCAACGTTGCAGCCAGTAAAGAGGAGTGAGGAGTCAGCAGTTAATGACCATATAAAGCAGCTAATAAAACAGGTTTTTCAACAACTGTGAATCACTGCAACCCAAGAGGGCTCATAATGAGCATATAGTCATAAATGTGTACACACAATATTAGGCTGATGGGTTCTGAATGCACCACTCACACCATCTTTCTCCATTTCTCAAACAATCCAACAGAACTTGCTAGCTAGCACTAGCTAATGTTTGTGGAGAATTGTTTTGCCTCCAGCTAAGTCCTGCCCACCAAAAAAGGTCACACTATTTACTAAGAGTAAAGAGTCTATGGGACAGAGCAAGACTGTTTTGACTGTGTTCTCAAACCATTTATGTATGTATGTAATAAATCCCCTCACAAGACACAATTACTTCTTTTATTAGTGCTTTATTATCTTATTATATAATGACAAAAACTCTGTCTGTCTGTGGGTATGTCTGTTCCACGTTTTTCTACTCACTGACGTGGTCAATCTATGTGAAACTGCACATAGTCATTGAGGAATGGCATAGGTAGAAGGTGACTAAGCGACTTTTTCAAAAAATTACACTATTAGTATATTCTTTTACAAAGTCGATGCATTCACCCCACGAGTTACTGTGCACGCGCGTTGATATATGTATCCACCTCAAACAGACATCATTTCAGCTGCAGCCGATAAAGGTAGGCTTATTAATTACTTAATTACATTTACACTGCTAAAACGTGCACATTGATGTCACATTGACAAGCTAACCAATTGCCATGTTGTGTAGGTGTATGTGCATGTAATGCAATACAGCTAACAGAACACAAGATGCTAAACTTTAGACTCTGCACATGATTACAATGTACACATCTCTGTTATATACTTCATGGAATTGGCGGTGGTAAATTTACATTATATACAATGCTTTAAAGTTTAAGACAGGGATACCGGGGCCAAATATGGAGGCAGAGTTTTGGCAGCTGTTGGTAAGCGTCTGATGGCTGGGCTTTTTTTTTTTTTTTTTTTATGTGTGGGGAAACTGCAGCATCCCAGAGAAAACCTCACACAGCAGAGAGTTTTATCCCCTACTTTTTCGGGAGGGCAGTTAACCTCTATTTAAACAGAGGGAATTCATTAGTCGCTGCCACAGTACTGTTGATGCTGTCATATGCATCATACAAAGATTCTAGAGCATGATCCAGGCCGTATGACCTGGAGTCTACATTGTCAAAGTCCTTTCCAGTTAAAGTTTTGACTAAAGACTCACTGGATAGTTTCTTTGCATTGTCGATGGCTAAGTGAAAGCCTTCTCTTAAGTATAAATACTCTGCCTCGAGTTCCTCAGCTGACTTCTTTGTTTGGCTCATGTTTGTTAAAAATAACTAAAATGCCGCCTTGAGTTTAAGCAAAATGATATTCCAGCAGTACTTACGACAGGGATACCGGGGCCAAATATGGAGGCAGAGTTTTGGCAGCTGTTGGTAAGCGTCTGATGGCTGGGCTTTTTTTTTTTTTTTTTTTAAGTGTGGGGAAACTGGAGCACCCAGAGAAAACCTCACACAGCAGAGAGTTTTATCCTCTACTTTTTACCCATCCATATTTGGATGGGTAAAAAGCAGAGGAATCATTTTATCCTACACTTTATTTCCCAGTGCCAGGGCTTGATGTTATAAATAAATTTCTTACAGCCTTTATGCTTTTTTTTGGGCTTTTCCTGCTGCCCAGAACCATCATCTTCCCTAATGATGTCCTCATTTTTTAAATAATATCGGCACTCTTCTTTCTGGGCCAGGCGGGCAGTTACTCGCTGGTTACCCTCTCTATCAAACAGAGGGAATTCATTAATCATCGCTGCCACGGTACTGTTGATGCTGTAATATGCATCATGCAAAGATTCCAGAGCATCATCCAGGTTGTATGACATCTGTCTCTGAACCTTCACTTTCCCCACTACATTTTCAAAGTTCTTTCCAGTTAAAGTTTTGACTAAAGACTCACTGGATAGTTTCTTTGCATTTTCGATGGCTAAGTCAAAGCTTTTACTTATGCAGAAATACTCTGCCTCGAGTGCCTCAGCTGACTTCTTTCTTTGGCTCATGTTTGTTAAAAATAACTAAAACACCGCCTTGAGTTCAAGCAAAATGATATTCCAGCAGTACTGCTGCCTGAAATTCTTTGAATTTAAGTCCTATTTACAAACTCTGGTGGAAGTGTTGTGATGTCACAGATGCTCTGTTCCATCATCCATCATAGAACAGAGCATCTGTGTTGTGATGTCACAGATGCTCTGTTCCATCATCCATCATAGAACAGAGCATCTGTGTTGTGATGTCACAGATGCTCTGTTCCATCATAGAATTTTTTTTTTTTTTTTTTTACAAAACTTTATTATACAAAGTCTCTCTCTCTCTCACACACACTCACACACACACACACACACACACACACACACATTTTCTCTAAAATACTCTTTAAAAAATTCTCTTAATTCGCTGTCATGCCCACAGTTTCCATTGTACATAAACAATTTATACATCAAAACGTAGGAAAATTTGTGCTGGTCGCAGAAATGTTACTATGGAATCACACACAGTGACACATTTGGCTCAGTGACCCTCCAAGCAAAGGGAGAGACCATTTTTTTCACATTCACTCCTATGTAATCTGAGAGGAGAAATTCCTTGTAAAGAGCTGGGGGGCACCAGATTTCTAACCTGTGCCCAAGATCACATGTTTGACACCACAAACATTAAAAAGACATCTACACAAAGATCATTTCCTCTCCCTGGTGGTATCCATATGTTGAAAAGGAGGTGTTTGAGAGGTTTCAACTCCATTAAATCAGGTGCCTGCTCTGAACTGCTGTCAAAATACACTCGGTAGAGTGCAGATCTTGCCGGGCAGCCGAGCAGCAGCCTTGGCTGATCATGACCACTTACAATTTTTGTAATTCCAGCAGATGCAGCTCAAAGCATTTTGGAAACATCTCAGAAGCGCCCCAGAAGCTATGAAAATATGCTCCTCGTCTATTTTTCAGAGCCACGGTGTATTGTACAGTGACAATTGAGTTTTCCTACTAACAGGCACTGCGTGGGAAATATAGATACAATATAATTATGAGGATTAAACCGTCACAAATATTCAGATTTGATATGTATCAATATATTGATATATTTGACAACAAGATATCAGATTTATACAGTTTTCTGTAGCTGTTTGAGGCAGCAGACAACTGCGGTTGCAAACTTCTCTGGATACTTTGTGTCAGTTCTGTCTTCTACAGGTATGCCTGTGTTCATGTACGGTACTCTGCAAAAATGAAACCCCTGACAATATAATGCAGCCCAACAAAACAGCATTTTTAAAACTTTGAATATAGTTGAACTGAGACCTTGCTAAATGTCATTAAAGTTCAAATTTATTTTTAGTTTGAAATTAACATATTTTGACATGCTATGATGAAAAAAATCAAATACAAATAGTTGTTGTGCACCTCATGTCCCTCCATAAAACCTGAGATCCTCTGCAGCTGCCCTTTTATCTGTTCTAACTACAAAAACCTTTGGGGATGCTTCTTTTAGCAACTACACCCCAAAAATATGGAAGACCCTGCCTTAGAATATTAGACTTGCTGGCTGAGTGGACAGTTTAAAATGACGACTCAAAAAATATCTCTTTAACATAGCCTATAACTTGCAGCTATCTGTTTTAATATTCTTAACGTGTTTGTATATATGTATTTACTTTACTTGATTAATTATTGATTGATGCATTTATTTACTCTTCTCTTTTCCCCTTGAATGAGTGTTGCATAATTGCATGGTGTTATTTCTTTGATGTTTGTCACTGCTGTCTGAATTGTAAAGCTCTGTGTGCCGCATTTTGTGCATTAAAGGTTCTATATAAATAATAGTCATTCCTTCCTTCATTTATTTGGTTAAAATGTTGCTCCCTCTAGTGGTTCACTATGTTAATGCATGTGTGTGAGGAAACTGTTTTCTGTTTTCTGTGTTTGAACTATTCGGACTAGACTCTGAGGCAAATTCAAAATCTAGAATAATAGTTGCTTGTTTAATGTTAGTTTAGGCACAACACGTTGTGATTATTTAAAGATAACAAAAGGAAGCAAGTTTCTTTCAATAGTATAAACATGAATGCATGGATATCCTGTATGTTTATGTGTTTAGGCACTGGCACCAATGCGTGTTACATGGAGGAAATGCGTCATGTTGACCTGGTGGAGGGAGATGAGGGCAGGATGTGTGTGAACACTGAGTGGGGAGGCTTCGGAGACGATGGGGCTCTCAACGATTACATCACTGAGTTTGACAGGGAAGTGGACGCAGCCTCCAACAACCCTGGAAAACAAATGTGAGGAGAGTGGCTTTGTCTTTCCTCGTGAGATTGATATGGTACAGCACAGCATGTATGAAACAATATCAACCGTGGCGTGAACCCCATCTGTTTCTTTTTTCTCCTCACTGTAGCATGGAGAAGATGGTCAGTGGGATGTACCTGGGTGAGCTCGTGAGGCTGGTTGTATTAAAGATGGCTAAACTCGGGCTGCTGTTTGATGGACATTTGTCTGAGGCCCTAAAGACTAAAGGGACAATAACCACTGCACATGTAGCGGCCATGGAGGAGTAAGTTATCTGTCTCTCTGTCTGTGTCACACTCCCTCTCTGTAAAAAACAAGTGATACCATCCACATCTGTCTATTACAGGTACAAAACTGGTCTGAAGAACACTATAAACATCCTCACGGATCTCGATTTGAACCCATCGTCTGACGACTGTGCTGCTGTTCAACATATCAGCACCATAGTGTCCTTCAGGTCCTCAAATCTGGTAGCTGCAGGACTGGCTGCCATCTTGACTCGAATTAAGCAAAACCGGAAGTTGAGGAAATTCAGGATCACTGTAGGTGTGGATGGAACTGTATACAAGACACATCCACAGTAGGTTATTATAACAAATATTCAACAAAAATCATCGATTGACCTTTTTCATTTGGAGATATCTTGAATTATCCTCCTTACTATTCACATGCTAATAGCAGGAAACTTGAATTAATATTGTAACCTGTAAAAACACATTTGTATGTAAATCAAATGTTGCAGCTGCTACAGATTCCCCTCTTTCCATTTCAGGTATGCTAAACGTCTCCATAAAGTAGTGCGGCAGCTGCTTCCTGATTGTCAAGTCAGATTTGTGCTCTCAGACAATGGCAGCAGCAAAGGAGCTGCCCTGGTAACAGCAGTCGCCCAACGACTGGCATCACGAAGGCGACAGGTTAGGATGTTGTTTGTGTGTGTTTCTGTATACTGAATGTAGTTTATGTTTTTATCTAGGGCAGCGTATTGGCAATACTCTACTGATACATTACAATACAGGAGTTATGATTAAATATACTGATAGATATACTGTGCTAGCAATATGTTGTTATGAGTGTAAGAGTCAAATGGCTGCAGATAGGTTACAACACTGACGGATCTAGCAGTAGGGGGGTTTAAACACAACACAAAATGAACCACTGTCACAAATCTTTGTATGTAAACTATTAATTAAACATCAATACAGTGTTTTGGTATATCGATACAGTATCACAAAACACTTTGTCTCAGTACTCTATTGTAGCATTATTTCTTACACCCCTAATTCTAACCTCATCAGCTGTTGTATCTGTCAGGTACGTGCCCCCAACCTGCCCCTTTGTTACTTGATGTCCAAGGTCCAAAGACTTTATACTGCATATTACATAAAATCCAGTTATCGTAAAACTCAGAGTCATTCTACTGTACTGTTTTTATACAAAGAGAGACCTCAAAAGTTAAAATATCTCCGAATAATCATCTTTGACCCATCATTAAAACCTTTCCTTCATACGTTAGCTGAAATTTCCAATGGCTTCCTGCTGTGGATGACCATGACCATGCAAAGGTTCATGTGATTTCACCGTGCAGGTTCTGAGGAATATAAAGGGAAAGTGCCCTCAGATTACAGTCTAACACAGTTGTAGTTTCTTAACATTAGAAATTTCATTGTAAAAATCCTATAGGTTATATGAAATTTTCAAAGAATTCCTGTTCAGGATGACCCCGACTATGTCCATGAGAAATTGTGATTGAACTGCACAGTTTTGGAGAAATCTTTATGGAAAATCAGCTCAAATTACATTTCGACACACTTAGAATTTCCTCATACCATCCTGAGACCCAAACTTTCGTCCTGTTTGTATTTTTAATTTCTCTTATATCAATTAATTAATAGGACCCAATAAGTAAAAAACGTAACGCTGTCAATGATAATTAAGTCCCAATGTCCTCAAATGAGACAACAATAAAGGCCTAGAGTCCTCAAATGAGATTATAGAACGTCCCACCATCCTCAAACGAGACAACAATTAAATCCAAAAATCCTCAAATGAGACGACAATGAAGTCCTAGAGTCCTCAAATGAGATTATAAAATGTCCCACCATCCTCAAACGAGGCAACAATTAAGTCCTGATGTCCTCAAACGAGACACAATTGTAAACTCTGATGTCCTCAAATGAGATTATAAAATGTCCCACCATCCTCATACAAGACAACAATTAAGTCCCACCATCCTCAAATGAGACAACAATTTTAAGCTCTTATGTCCTCAATCGAGACAACAGTTAAGTCCTGATGTCCTCAAATGAGATTATAAAATGTCCCACCATCCTCATACGAGACAACAGTTAAGTCCCACCATCCTCAAATGAGACAACAATTAAGTCCTGATGTCCTCAAACGAGACAACATTTAAGTTCTGATGTTCTCAAACGAGACAACAATTTTAAGTTCTGATGTCCTCAAACGAGACAACATTTAAGTTCTGATGTCCTCAAACGAGACAACATTTAAGTCCTGATGTCCTCAAACGAGACAACAATTTTAAGTTCTGATGTCCTCAAACGAGACAACAGTTAAGTCCTGATGTCCTCAAATGAGATTATAAAATGTCCCACCATCCTCAAACGAGGCAACAATTAAGTCCTGATGTCCTCAAATGAGACACAATTGTAAGCTCTGATGTCCTCAAATGAGATTATAAAATGTCCCCCCATCCTCAAACGAGGCAACAGTTAAATTCTGATGTCCTCAAATGAGATTATAAAACGTCCCACCATCCTCAAACGAAACAACAATTAAGTCCCACCATCCTCAAATGAGACAACAATTAAGTCCTGATGTCCTCAAACGAGACAACATTTAAGTTCTGATGTTCTCAAACGAGACAACAGTTTTAAGTTCTGATGTCCTCAAACGAGACAACATTTAAGTTCTGATGTCCTCAAACGAGACAACATTTAAGTTCTGATGTCCTCAAACGAGACAACAATTTTAAGTTCTGATGTCCTCAAACGAGACAACATTTAAGTTCTGATGTCCTCAAACGAGACAACAATTTTAAGTTCTGATGTCCTCAAACGAGACAACATTTAAGTTCTGATGTCCTCAAACGAGACAACAGTTTTAAGTTCTGATGTCCTCAAACGAGACAACATTTAAGTTCTGATGTCCTCAAACGAGACAACAATTTTAAGTTCTGATGTCCTCAAACGAGACAACATTTAAGTTCTGATGTCCTCAAACGAGACAACAATTTTAAGTTCTGATGTCCTCAAACGAGACAACATTTAAGTTCTGATGTCCTCAAACGAGACAACAATTTTAAGTTCTGATGTCCTCAAACGAGACAACATTTAAGTTCTGATGTCCTCAAACGAGACAACAATTTTAAGTTCTGATGTCCTCAAATGAGATTATAAAATGTCCCACCATCCTCATACGAGACAACAGTTAAGTCCCACCATCCTCAAATGAGACAACAATTAAGTCCTGATGTCCTCAAACGAGACAACAATTTTAAGTCCTGATGTCCTCAAACGAGACAACAATTAAGTCCGGATATCCGCAAACGAGACAACAATTAGGTTCTGATGTCCTCAAACGAGACAACAATTAGGTTCTGATATCCTCAAACGAGACAACAATTAGGTTCTGATGTCCTCAAACGAGACAAGTTAAGTCCTGATGTCCTTAAATGAGCCAACAATTTTAAGTTCTGATGTCCTCAAACGAGACAACAGTTAAGTCCTGATGTCCTCAAACGAGACAACAATTAGGTCCTGATGTCCTCAAACGAGACAACAATTAGGTTCTGATGTCCTCAAACGAGACAACAATTAGGTTCTGATATCCTCAAACGAGACAACAATTAGGTTCTGATGTCCTCAAACGAGACAAGTTAAGTCCTGATGTCCTTAAATGAGCCAACAATTTTAAGTTCTGATGTCCTCAAACGAGACAACAGTTAAGTCCTGATGTCCTCAAACGAGACAACAATTAGGTCCTGATGTCCTCAAATGAGACAACAGTTAAATCCTGATGTCCTCAAATGAGATTATAAAACGTCCCACCATCCTCAAACGAAACAACAAAGTCCTGATGTCCTCAAATGAGACGACAATAAAGTCCTAGAGTCCTCAAACAAGATGATAATAAAGTCCCAATGTCTTCAAACAAGTACTTCCTAATTAACAGTGTCTTAGCTTGTTACTGTTGCTACAATTTGTTGCCATATCAAACTACAAACATTATTAATCATAAATAAACAACTTTCAACCATAAAATGTGATCAGGTTTTGGACCTTGTCCACTTTTCTGTCAGGATCGGTCGTATACTGACGTGGCAAAGTTAGCTGCCATCTTGTTTTTACATGGATTAGTGTATTGTGGTCTTACTACCACTAAATGGTATAAGGTCAAGTAAACCTAAAATGTGATGTCCCCATAGGAGGACACAGGATCTCAGGAGGATATTTATGTATCATAGTGCCCTTCTGATTTCACCAGGTGCAGCACAAGATAGTATGATGCAGTTTGTTGTAGGATGCCAAGTTGCATTCTGTGGAAATATGGATTGTAATAATTCAACAGGTTATGCTATAAATTACGTTAGTGTGGTTTGCTTTTTTAAAATACTGGTCCATGTGCCCCTTTTTTAACTTTTAGCACCTGCCCCTCTAAAGGTTTCTGCACAGCCCTGATGTCTGATATTATACAGTATCTCTGACATGTATCGCAGGTGGATGAGACGCTGTCTCCCTTCAAACTGACCCCAGAGCAGCTCCAGTTGGTGAAGAGCAGGATGAGGGCGGGGCTGGAAGCAGGGCTGAAGAGTAAAGGCCCCTCTACTATCAAGATGCTGCCTTCTTTTGTGTACCGTACACCTGACGGCACAGGTCAGAAACTTAAATGAAAATCAAAGTGAACAATTAAAAGGCCTTCCAAAATTGTTGTTTTCTAATAGAATAAACTGAACAGAATCCTTTTAAAACAGATAATCAATAAGCTACTATATGTGTGTTTTCCAGAGCATGGGAAGTACCTTGCCCTGGATCTAGGAGGGACAAACTTCAGAGCATTGCTGGTGAACTTGACAAAAGGTCAGCAGCCGAACACACAGCTTTACCACAAGATCTACACCATACCACTGGAGATAATGCAGGGAACTGGGGAAGAGGTAGGACATTGTGATGGGGGTTTCAAATAATATGCACAGAAAGCTGTGCAGGAATTAAACCATGGCTTGCCTTTGTAAAATATTGATAATGATTTAATGAGCATTTGAATTACTGAGCTAAGAAGAACATTTGTGGAAAATGAATTTGACCTGACAGCATTGCATGAACAGTACATACTTGGTCATCTTTCAGTAAAAACCTTTCCTTCTCTGTCTCTCTGTCTGTCTCTAGCTGTTTGATCATTTAGCGCAGTGTGTTAGTGACTTCCTGGACTACATGGGGATGAAGAACGCTCATCTTCCTGCAGGCTTCACCTTCTCTTTCCCCTGCGAGCAATCAGCTCTCGACACGGTGAGCGTGGACACTATGTTAGTTTCGTTTTTTACAACCATAGAAAACTTTCTCATAGGAATAACAACCAATGATCAATCAATGCTCAAATTAATAGCTTTTCAGAGAAACACACAGTAAAAATACACAAGTAAACAGACATTGATTTTGTAATCTTTTTCAACCTTTGTAACTCTCCTGTAGGGCACACTGGTGAGCTGGACCAAAGGCTTCAAGGCCACAGACTGTGAAGGACAGGATGTTGTCAGCATGCTGAGGGAAGCCATAAAGAGGCACAACGTGAGTAAAATACAACAGAAAAGATTCAGCATGGATTACCTGAGATTTGTCAGATAAGGTGAAAGAATAATCCTGCATGCTTTCCTATTTATACATATTTGTTTAAGTGCATGTGGAAGTAAAGAGCCTGTAAGATGCACAAAACTGTTTCACCACAAATTGAATGTAAATTATAATGACAAATGAAGTCATCGTCATTTTTCTGTAGAGTAAATTGCCTTGCATTTTCTTGGATGTTGAGTCGTGTGCTAAATGTTTGTTCTTGTATGTACTGCATGCTTGTACCTGCAGGAGTTTGACCTGGACATAGTAGCAGTGGTCAATGACACAGTGGGGACCATGATGAGCTGTGCCTATGAAGACCCTCAGTGTGAAATCGGACTGATTGCTGGTATGTGACCTTCAAAGTGATGACATTCTGAGTAGTTGTCAATAAGGCAAGGTACGTTTATTTATATAGCACCATTTAGACACAAGGAAATTTAAAATGCTTTACAGGGGTTAGTAAAATGGAAAGACACACTGAACAATAATGTTTAAGCCCTGATTAAAATGAGTTAACAGTTTTTAGCAATCCGGGGAGCTTGTTTTACAGTTGGGGAGCATAGAAACTAAAAGCTGCTTCACCATGCTTGGTTTTGATCCTGGGAACACTGAGTAAACTGGTTCCAGATGACCTAATGGATGCTTCATATTGTACAAGTAAATCTAGAAATGTATTTAGACCTGAGGCCACTCAGTGCTTTACAGACAAATAAAAGGATTTTAAAATCCTCCTTTGACCCACAGGAAGCCGGTGAGCCTGTTAGCTCCTGCTGTCAAATCTCATACAAAAAATCTTGGAGTCATTTTCGATGCGGCATTAAAATTTGAAAAACAAATCAATCAGGTAGTTAAAGTAAGTTTCATGCAGCTCCGCACCATATCCAAACTCAGATCATTTCTCTGTATTTCTGACCTGGAGAAAGTCATCCATGCCTTCATATCCTCCCACCTTGACTACTGTAACTCACTATACTTTGGTATCAGTGAGTCCTCCTTATCCCGTTTTCAACTTGTCCAGAATGCAGCAGCCAGAGTTTTGACAAGGTCAAAGAAGAGGGAGCAAATCACCCCCATTCTTGCCTCACTACATTGGCTGCCTGTTAGCTACAGGATTGATTTTAAAATTCTGATGCTTGCATATAAGGCACTCAATGGAATCGCCCCCTTAACAGAACTCCTGTCCCCGTATCACACAGCCAGAGAGCTAAGATCCTCCGATCAAAGGTTTTTATCAGTCCCGAGATCTAGGACTAAGTGTTAGAGGGACCGGAGTTTCTCTATCGCTGCCCCAAATTTGTGGAATTCTCTTCCTCCTCCCATCCGGTTCCTCCCCACCACTGAGATTTTTAAAAGTCATTTAAAAACTTACCTGTATTCCGTCGCCTTTGATTGTGTCTAAGCCAACCACCCCAAGTTTTTTAACCTGAAGTCTGTGCCTTTATTGTGCTTTTATTACTATTATTATCCTTATCAGGTTTTTATTGCACCTTATTCTAATTCTACTATTATCTTTGATTGTACTATTCTTTTTCTCTTGTTTGTTCTCTTCTTTTGCTTTTTGTTTTCCTCTGTGTATGATGTTGAGCATCAGCAGAATTATGTGTTAACTAAAGTGCTATATAAATAAAGCTGAGTTGAGTTGAGCTGAGAAGTGATTCAAGGCCCGCTGTAATGTGCTCCACTTTCTTGGTGTTAGTAAGGACTCTGGCTGCAGCATTCTGGAGGAGTTGCAGATGTCTGACTGATTACTAACTTTGGTTTACTTAAGTAATAATAACAATAATAATAATAACTTTATTTGTATAGCACCTTTCAAAACAGAGTTACAAAGTGCTTAACAATGAAAACAATTAATACACAATAGAACAATTAGTGCATAAAAACAATAAAACATCAAATAATTTAAAAACAGTTACAATAATTACCATCGGTTAAGAAAAAGCCATACTATAAAAGTGAATCCGAAGAAGAGATTTAAAAGAAGATTGAGTTAGCCTGCCTGAGATCTCCAGGCAGGGAATTCCAGAGCTGAGGGGCCCGAACAGCAAAGGTCCGGTCGCCTTTAGTGACAAGACGATAATTTGGAACTAATAGAAGGGCCCTCCTGGAGGATCTCAAGCAGCGATCAGGCTCATAAGGGGTTAGTAGATCACAGATATAGGCAGGAGCCTGACCATTCAGGGCTTTAAAAACAAGCAGTAAAATCTTAAAATCAATTCTAAAACTCACAGGTAACCAGTGAAGGGCAGCAAGGATTGGTGTTATGTGGTCACTTCTCTTAGTACCTGTTAAAAGCCTGGCAGCAGCGTTTTGTACCAGCTGCAGTCTTTTAATGTTTCGTTTGCTGATGCCAGAATAAAGTGCATTACAACAGTCGAGTCTGGAAGAAATAAAAGCATGGATGACCTTTTCTAAATCTGCAGGGGAGAGGAATGACCTGATTTTGGTTAGCTGTCTCAGTTGGGCAAAGCAGGACTGAAGTACTCTGGTCACCTGCACATCAAAAGACAGTTCACAGTCAAAAATGACACCCAGGTTGCAGGCCTCTGTATGGACATTATTAGACAGTGTACCCAGACTAGAGGTGAGATTGGTGATGGTGCTAGTGCTGGGGCCAGAGGTGGTGATGATGATTACTTCTGATTTAGAGTCATTCAACTGCAGAAAATTTTTGGACATCCAGGATTTGATTTCGGCCAGACAAGACATAAAACAGACAGCATCAGAGGAACCAGGCTTTAACGGGACATATAATTGAGTGTCATCCACGTAACAGTGAAAGTTAAAGTTATGTTTTTACGCATGATTTGTCCGAGAGGTAGCATGTATATGGTGAATAGAAGGGGACCCAAAATAGACCCCTGTCTCTGTATTCAAAAAAGGCTGGAATTGTGTTAAGGGTTGTTGTCAGTACGTAGTTATGATGGTTTGTGTTATAACGTGAGGTAAAAAAAAGCACTCACCGATCAGGGTCATCCCGAGTACTGTAACAGTAATGCATGTGTGTGTTGCTAAGCACACTGGATTGTCTCTAACCATAATGAGTTTGACCAGCAGTGAGAATGCTTTCCTTATTGTAGTTGTTATATTTAATACAAGACAGACCATGTGACTGTGTTTCACAGGAACTGGCACTAATGTGTGTTACATGGAGGAACTGAAGAACATTGAGAAGACAGAACAAAAGAAAGGAAGACTGGACAGAGAAGAGGGGACCCCTGAAGGAGAAGATTGGGTATAAAATTTATAAAAGGCTCACACTGTTTAGTCCTTCAATGAGCTGTGGTGTTGTTAAAACAAACTCATTAGCTTCTGCTCCCTGCAGGAGGATGGGATGGAGAGAGAGGGAGAGGAGGGGGATGCTGAGATATCAAAGATGTGTGTAAACACAGAGTGGGGAGGTCTGGGTGATGATGGCTCTCTGGATGACATCATCACACCTTATGACATTGAGGTCGACAAAAACTCAGTCAACCCTGGAAAACAACGGTGAGAAACACTTTTTGTAAAGTTTGTGCACATGTGTTAAGGCCACATTATTTGTATACTTTTATACAAATACAGTGTGTGTCTCATGCTCCAGTGACTCTGCGTGTTTTCTGAACCTTTTAGCTGTTCAGTGACTCCATCAGGTGGTCACATGGTCTTTTTAACAAATGATTTGTGTCTTTGTGAGTGTGCAGGTTTGAAAAGCTGACCAGTGGGATGTATTTAGGAGAAGTTGTCCGTCAGGTATTGCTGGATTTAACCAGTGGAGGTTTGCTGTTCAGAGGACACGTCACTGAAGCTTTAAAAACACCTGGAATATTTGAAACCAAATACCTGTCACAAATAGAGAGGTAGGAGAAACTGTGTGTGAATGGGAAGAGTATATACTGTATGTGTGTGTTTGTAAGTGAGACTGCGTGTGAAAATGCTTGCATTTCTTTTTTCAGATGGTCCCTTATTCAATGATGCCACCTGGGTGTGTGTGAGTGTAAATGTGTGGCTGTGTCTTACTGTAATGTGTCTAAACTGTGTTGTCTCCCCCTAGTGACCGCCTGGCTCTACTGCAGGTCAGAGCTATTCTCCAACAGCTGGGGCTCGACAGCAACTGTGACGACAGCATCATCGTCAAAGAGGTAGAAGACAGAAAATAATGAGCAGCACTGTGTCATGTTTGTAGACAAACAACTGTTTCAGCGCCGTCTCATCAGAGAAAACTAATGTTTGTGCAGGACCAACACAGATGTTTTAAGCAAGTGCTTTTAATATCATTAACAATGATTATAGTCTATTTTACTACTTTAGCAGCCTCCATACTACAATACTGTTTGATATGTCAGATAAAGATTTAGTATGTCAGTGTGTCAAATGCAGTTTGCCAGAAATACCAGGATGTCTGAGACATGTATAGCTGCAGGCACATTTTGTTTGAAGGCTGCACAACATGCCCCTACAAACTGCACCCATCACCAGTACAAGACAAACTCACTAACGCAATGGTGATTTTAAGTATGAAGTGAGTATGCGATTCTGAATGCAGCACTGCATCCCACAGGACTGAAGTCTAAATCCATTACCTTACTCGCAGATACTTCGGTCAGTGCAAGAAAAACACAGGAGTAATTCGTTAACATCACTCTGTTTCATTTGAGTTTTCTCATTTCCTTGTTGAGCCAGTGTGCAGGAACCATTGATATTAAACTTTTGAACTTTGTCAACCAGTTGAAAGTATTTAGATGTAAATATCAAAATTCTGCAACCCTGTGTCCTATTTCTTGTCTCAAATACCACAGAGAGGTTAAGAGTTGACGTTTTGACACACTTGCCCAGAAAAGCATGTTCTCTGTTGCAACCTCACTTTGGGAGTCAGTAAGATTTCTTTCCACTGAATGAGGGGTGATATGATTTTGTCTGGTTCTGCAAACTGTGGCACCAACAGTCTGTTATGTGTTGTAATAATGATAATGGTTTTCATTGTTACGCAGGTATGTGGAGCAGTGTCACGTCGTGCAGCTCAAATGTGTGGGGCAGGAATGGCAGCCGTGGTCGAAAAGATCAGGGAGAACCGAGGACTGGATCATCTGGACATCACTGTCGGGGTGGACGGTGCACTTTACAAACTACATCCACAGTGAGTTTTTTTTATTTGTTGTAGTCGGTGTATGCTACGGACACAAAACTATACTTTAAAAGAAATCAGTCCAATCAAAAGTTTTGATGTTACTTGTTTCTCTTTATTTAGCTTCTTCAAATTACTTAATAAAAACTAAATTATTTGTTCTTCTTCTGCTGTTTCTAGTTTCTCTATAGTCCTCCAAGAAACTGCCAGAGTTATGGCCCCACAGTGTAACGTCACCTTCCTGCCATCAGAGGAAGGCAGCGGGAAGGGTGCCGCCCTCATCACAGCTGTGGCCAAACAGAAGCCGGAGATGTAAATTCACCTGACTGAAAAATATTTTTAAGTCCTTTTTTCACTTTTCTCATTATTTGAAATGTTGTCAGCACTGCTGCACCTGTTGCTGCCATTGTCATCTGATGTGAGAGAGCTGCTGAGTGTCATGTGTCACATGGATTCACCAACAGCTTCTCTCACCTGACAGCGGAGCCTCGCCTGAAGGGCATAAAACACGGTTTTTCACTGACAGGCTTCCCACCCATGAATACAGCCATTTGTGCTGCACTGTGCAGACCGCAATTAATTTCTGGTCCCTAAAAATATTTAACGAACTTGATTCAAACTACCAAATGTTTACAACAAAGCTTGCCAATGCAAAAACTGAAAGCCTTTTATTTCCCAATCATTACCAGATTAGATGTGGGAAATGTCACACCCACAGCTGCACAGTCACATGCCAGTATTAGCCATGCACCGATTAGACTCTGCCATTGATAACACGGCTGAGTGCTTAGTTTCGGAAAAGAAAGAATGCTGATATCAAAAATCACACCGTGCAAACTCCTCAAGGTCGGCATGTATGTGAGACCAAACAAAAAGTGAAGTTATCATACAAGACTGATAATAAGATTCAGCTGTCAAAGTGTGATCTGTACACGTGGTGTGATTCTCTCAAGAACTGAACAGTCCCTTCACTTCTGCTCACACACACACACACACACATTAAATCTACTGTGTTTGGAGTGTTTCTAATAAACTTTTGCACTGCAGTAATTTGTATCAATTCAGTTCTTTGAACCAGATGATTCATACACACTATAAATTATTGTGTTGTATATTCAGTGTCAAGCTATTAAAGGTCCATGTGTCGGAGTTAGTGGCCTCTAGTGGTGAGGTTGCACAACTCAAACTTCTCCCTAAGCCAAACGTGTAGGACAGGCATGTCCAAAGTCTGGCCTGTGGACCATCTTTAAATATACTATATATGGCCCACCACACAATATCACTTGCATTTTTTCCCTTCACTTCACAATGGCAGGACTATCATACAGTTTGTAGACATGCATCGAGTAGGTACGCAGGCAGAACTAATGTGTTGTCTTAGTCAGACAGTAAACAGACAAACAGAACGGTTATCTGACAGCATACGTGTCACAGCCACAGCAAATAAGCATAAAGTTAACAGTGAGGGCTGTCACTTTCAGCAGCAGCAGAGGAGACAAGAATACATTTTCACTGAAAGATGAAACAGTTGTCTTTATCTGGTTTGTTTGTGATTTCCTTTTTTTAAATAACCCAATTGATGCAAGAAAATGCGAATGACCCTATCTAGAGCCAGTGTTTGATTTGTCTATGCTGGGCTACTGTAAAATATCATGGCAGAGTCCATGAGAGAGGACCTGCTCCATATGACCATATAAACGCCTCATTCTAAGGTAATGAAAACATAACATTTTGTAGGTTCGGTAATTATTAATGAATGAAAATATAGTTATAAATATTACATACCATTTCTATCAATAGATGCCTCTAAATCCTACACACTGGACCTTTTAAAATATCGTGTGTTGTATAAAGGAAAGACGAAGGGATGGCGTGTTTGTGTTCAGTCATGATCCAGGGTCACGGATGCTTTTCTGGACAGGAGAACAAATTCAAAATTGAAGATTATTTCAGGCAAAAAAAAAAATGTTAGAGCAGTATTCTCTCCACTGTGAGGACATCGGCTAAATGGAAGTTTGAATCACTTAATTTCCTCATCTTTTGTGGCTAAAACTATTCAAATGTAAACAATTCATTTAGTGTCTGAATTATCCTCTTTCCTGCAGCTATTACTGAAGGAAAGAGGATAAAACATCATTATGAAAGGTTGTGTGTGTGTGTGTGTGTGTGTGTGTGTGTTAGTCAGCAGTATCTCAGTATTGATAAAAGGCAGGAGGAGGATTGGAATGCCGCTGACCACATTTCCCAACAATAACAACAACCGGCGCTCTGTTCCGTCGTTCTGGACCGACTCTCTGTCCTTGTGGTCGCTTAACTCTCTCTCTCCCTTTGATGACAATGTGAACACAGCCTCTTCCTGTGTCCACTCAGTCTGTACATCATTTTCCTTAATTTTATATCGGTCACGCTGGTCTGCCGCCATTTATTCTCTGTTGAGGTTCAAATAAAATTCTAATTTACTTGTGATTTGGTGGTTTCATTCCAACATTTGACACAGTTGTCTTTTTGATGTGGTTGGGCGAGGTTGTTTGGTGTCTGTCCTGAAGCCCTGGGGTGTGTGAGCAGAGCTTTGGGATCAGCTGGCAGAGAGGACACTCTGTCTGTCTGTCTGTCTGTCTGTCTGTCTGTCTGTCTGCCTGTGCATCCATGCCATTTTGGCCACTCTGTCTGTCTGCTTTATCTGTCTTGCTGGATCCTTGCCCATTTGCCAGTGTCTTTATCTGGTCCCACTGCGTAGTAATGCTGAAGTAACAGTACAAACAGAAACATGAAAAACTCCGCTGAGGGGGTTTGATGCAACAAGTGAATTGATGTGTTTTAGTATCGCAGATTAAATTTCAATCATTCTCATTCTCGGCAGAAAATACAGTTAGTATTTGTATTTACAAGTTGCATTATAATCTCTTACTATTGACTTGACAATACTGGATACAGTCCAACACAATGAGCAGTGCAATGATCAGCGTACTTATGCTAATCCAGTCGTGACTGATTAGATGATGTATTGAAGATGAAGGAGAAAACAGCAGAGCGCAGGGAATACAGAAAATAATGCAAAGCAAAACATCAAGAAAGAGAGTGAAGGGAGGAAACAAATTAGGAAGGGTTAAAGGAAGGAGGAAGGAAATGTATCTGGAAAGGCTGCGTGCTAACAGAAGTGAAACACTAGCTAATCTGTCAGGGATTAACATGTTAGAATGCTACCCGCCGTGGGCCACAACACACACACACACACACACACACTGCACAGTAATCCCTCACTGTCCTAGTAGTGACCTAGTAGCTTCACAGTTAAACCACACATGCACTGACTCTGCAGCTTCAATGCAGCAAACACAGCTGGGCTGCTGAATCTGCAGCTCGTGCAGCACAGCACAGTGAAATGACTGAAACAGAAGCTGGCACGTTCTGTCACTCCTGCTCTTGTCCTCAGTTTCCTTTAATGTCTCTAAACAAACTCTCTCCACTCTGTTGTACACTTCATACACAATCACTGTACATCTTTTTTTTATTTTAGCTTTTATTTGAGTTTGAATAACCTCAAATGCCCCTCACATCTTCCAGAGTCTTCCTGAACGAGCATTCCTCAGGGAGCAAGGTGTGTGAGTCTTATACATCCATTTTCTTTGTGTTTGTGTGTGTGTGTTCACAGCTCTGTGAGTATGTTTCTTTGTCTTCTCTGTAAACCAACAATCAGACCTTTGACACACACACATGCACACACAAACACAGAAATGGTCACCAGTAGACTTGGCAGAGCTGAGACGCTGGTTCTTCAGGACCTACAGCGAGACAAGCTCTGGCCCTCCTCTGAAAGGATTGTTCTGTTTAATTATCAAGCAGTAGTTCTCAGGGAGCACAGGCTTTATTATTTTTATTTGACAGTCCCTTATTGTCTCCAGAGATATAATGAATCAAAGATTTGAACCTCTATATGGAGTGGATCGTGGAAAAATGAGAGAACACAATGTCCCAAAACAACATTGTGGTGACAACTGTCGGATGCCGGCTTCGCTTGATCAGGGGAAAACGTTATCAATGAAGGTAATTTAATTAATGACATAGCATAATAATCTATTGGAGCTAACACTGCTTAGATAGGGATTATCTATAATGCGTCTGTAGAAAAAAGATGAGAAATACGAAGGAGACAAAGCACAAACATGTTCATAAACTTGAACTCTCGAGCTTGAAAATACTGTGTTGTCATTTAACATCACTCTGCAGAGACACACCTGTTAGCAGCTAACGTTTAATACTGGGTTGTGCTATTGGTTAACTTACTGCCATATGTCACAACCTGTAGCTGGAGCAAGGTGACTAATGAAAGCTTATTGAACCGTAGCATAAATTTAGCTGCTTGCTGGTGATCTTCACAGTGAGAGACATGCTACCAGGTGGCTAATTGTTATTGCTCTTTAATTAAGACTGATTAAAGAGCAGCCGATGGAGCAGACTTTCTCTCAGCAGCAGACATTTTGATCTCCACATCTTCTTTTTGCTTTGACATTCTCCAAGGTTAAACTTAAAATCTTAAAAATCTCCTGCTGTTCCTAAAAGCTTTTTTAGCATTTTGGACACATCAGAGGAAAACAATCAGGTGTTGGTCAGGGGGTTGTGTGTGAGTGTCAGATTGACATGGCATGTTGATGGATAAATAAAGCAACATACAAATGGTTTGTAGACAAACACTAGGATTAACTTACTTAATGCTTTGGCTGAGAGAAATGACCTTCACTGTAGGAAAACTGCACCAATTACAGGATTAAGAGCAGATTCTGTGTCCTCAAATGACCAAAATACTTCATTTGAATTGTTAGGATGGAAGAAGAGTTTTAACGTGAAAACTTTCTGTGGAAACTTTAGAGACAAGATGTTTTTCTAGTGACTTTGTATAAGTGAATAAATGTAGATGACATGATTTTACATGAATATATTATTTCTCACTTCAGGTCAAGTTCTATGAGAGAAACTGTGTTACTGCTCTGTAACATCTGTTTAAATAGACATAACTTCAATGCAGCCAGGCAGTCTGTGTTTTGTGTAAGCAGCACAACCCTCACTGCACATATGAGCACAACAAGCCCAGGCAGGCTGACAGAGAGGATGTCGAATGGTACTCTAGGTAGAAATCACAAGCAGGAGAGGTAGACGGGTACCGTGACAAAACAAAAACAACCACACCTTTAAAATACGGTGAAATTTCTGGAATGCATAAATAAACATCACAGATGTTGTAGTGCATGGAGCTTCATATGAACAGCACAGATTCAGGTTTCTGTGCTGCAGTCTGTCAAACAAAACAAAAATACAAGGGGAAAAATCTGCACTAGGAACACTATCTGCTGTTCTGAGCAATCAGACATCGTAGATTTGGGTTAGGCTACCTCTCTATGGGACATTTACTAGAAACACTGGAGACTTTGACAAATCGAAATTCCATTAGTGCTGCTCCAATCATTGGCAAAAATACCCATTACAGGTCAAACGTGTAGAATTTAGTGACATCTAGTGGTGAGCGTGCAGAATGCAACCAGCTGACACGTTTCCAGTATGCTCAGCGTGTAGGAGAGCTACAGTGTGTGATGCAAAAATGTGAAAACATGAATGGCCCTATCTAGAGCCAGTGCTTGATTTGTCTGTTCCTGGCTACTGTAGAAACAACATGGTGGACTTAATGAAAGAGGAACTGCTCCATATTTAGATATAAACAGCTCATTCTAAGAGACCCTTTTATTGTTAGTAAACAGTATGATTTTGTTTTTGGTGGGCAGGACTTAGCTGGATGCAAAACAATTCTCCACAGACATTAGCAAGTGCTTTTGGCTTATTTTAGACAGTGGAGGAAGATGATACAAGTGGTGCATTTAGAAATACCGAAGGGCACTCTGGCACAAACTGGACTTTTCGTAAATTCGTAACCAACAGGACCAGACTGGCCCACCCCTATGCTCTCACTCAGTGGATGGATGATTGGGATGGCTGGCTTTGTGGTTGATTACTATACCAATCTTACAAAGGAGGACGACACAAACACTTTCCTCCA